AATAAAATGTGGAGATCACAGGTACTTCTCAGATTTATCAGAAAGATCCACATACAAACACTAAGAGCTGAAATCAACGTTAGCATCTTTACTCAACTCTCCTGGGGGTAGTCGTTAACAGCAACAACACATTTTCATCATCAAAAAGTGGTCTTAAGACCGTTCTGGAATACTACAACAGTACCTCAGAGATCCCTGAATTTTGCGGAAGAGTCCCTGAAGCTTCAAGGATCTTTGAAACCCCCCACAAACTTATCAAGCATCTCTGAAATCTTCTCAAGGACGGCCCCTGACTCTTCTTCAAGAGCCCAAAACCCTGCTTTAGAACGCTGCCTTGAAACCTCCTCTGTGTCCCGAGAAACATCTTGTTAGAGACTTTTTTATGGTCAGCGTGGCCTCCTTAAAGACCCTCTAAATAATCCGTGGAACCTGTTCAAGGATGTCAAAACCTCCTGACATCTGTCCCGACCTCTGGACCCTCTTTTACACGAGAGTCTAGCCTTGTGCACATGGAACCCCTTCAAAGACTGTACCCTCATTACAAATCCCAGACAATGTTTCATACTTGGTGCATATTCCTAAATAAATTCAACCCAATCACCAGACACAGAATCTTCTACAATATTTGTGCATGACTACGGTCTGGTTGCTCAGGGAAAGAACGTGGTCATGGCAGGTGGACTATGGTTAGAGGTAAAGTTAGCATGCTAACGAGTTAGCCCTGGCCCGTCCCATCTCGTGATACAGCTTTTGTACCTTGAGTTGTGTGCAGCTCAGGCCTCCCCGGTAGTTTCAGCTGGGAGATGTGTACGCGCAGCGAGTTTCCTACGTTCTCAAACTCTTTTAGCTTTTTTAGGTCTGATAAATAAACGAAATAAAAGCACAAAATGTCAAGACCCGCTCGCCCCGGCTCTGGTTCTGGTGCTCATTCTGGACACAGTCAGCTAATTGGGCTGCTAAATTAGCTACATGGCTAACTAGCTAATGGCAGCTATGACCTGAAGTGTGATTTGCTTCCCCTCCATTTATTTGGAGTATGGATTCGACAGGTAGTCTGAGGTTTTACACATTGTACCTTTTAATTGTAGGTATTTGACAGGATGCTACGCGCCCCAACTTTATGCTTCACTACATAAAGAACTCGCTACTACCTGCATTCACACTAAACCTTTATATCAGATGTAAATATGAATGTAACTTGTTTTCAACAAGTTCAAAACCAGATAAATCCTGGGAAAGCCCCTGCAGCCTCCTCAAGCACCCTGACGTCTTGTCTTCGGTGACTCCTGAGAGCCTCTCAATGATCTGCGGAGAACCCTGATCAATAAAGTTGTAGCAGTGATTCACATCGACAGTTTCTTCTTCTGCTCTGCTCTGTAAATCATTACAGCCCCCTTTAGTGACGTCCACCTCTTCTACAGGTTTTGGACTTTGAACTCAACTATGTAAGTTTTCAAAAGAGAAACTTTTATATATTGATTTTCATTTACTATTTGAGACTTTGTCAGATCTGTCTGTGCTGATTGAACTTGGGAATGTAAGTTTTCAGAGAGAGAAAAATTAGCTCAGCTGCTGCGTCTTTGAGTTTGGCAAAGTGGAAACATGGACATAATCAAGTAATTATACGCAGCAGAGAAGTCATGTTTTCAAATTCCAACTAAAATATAGAGCCTTTTGTGGTAAACAAGAAAGGAGTAAAGAGTACCAAGGAAAGCCAAATCCAAGAAGAGATCTCATAGCGGTTTCTTTTATTTCTCCTCGACACAAATGAGCTGCTTTTAACACCAAGGTCAGACCGAAGACTTTTTTCTCCTACTTCTCAAATTCAGCTCAGGAGAAACAACCATATACAATCTCATTTATCTCTAATTCTGATCTAAACAAGAGCTCTCTAACTGAAGTCTGATCTAAGTCTCCTAAACATGTGACCACGAGGTCAGAGAACGAGCTCAAAGGGAACTCCTGGGATCTCAGGAATCTTCTCAAATATGTCTCGGTTCTCTCACGGTGACTTCAGGAGCAAATAACTCTATATTAAATTAAATTAGTGTATTTTAAGTCTCCAGAATGTGGATCAGAGAAAAAGCTCCCAGATGTCTTTGTTTTGTCTTAGGGGTGGAAAATAAAGTTATTTTACTCAAGTACTTTACTTAAGTCAAACGTTGAGGTACTTGCTCTTGAGTATTTTCTTTTTAGGAGGGTTTATACTTTTACTACCCAGACTTTCAAATCCTTATTGTAGTTATTGTTGATTATCTGTTGCAAGTTACTGAGAAAAATAATAAAATACATTTTGTTATTGAAAGTAATGCACTTTCAAATGTCATGTTTTACAATTTGTTAAGGTAGTCACAGCCAGGAACACTTTGAAATGATGTTTAGAGATGAATTCATTAAGGACAGAATGCACGCAAGAACTGAGATAAAACAATATCATACAGAATACAGAGTACATTTACTTTTGATACTTAAGTACATTCACTATTGAATACTTTTATACTTGTGAAGCATTTTGAGGACTTTAACGGTATTTTCCTCTCTTGAGAAAAGGAAAAGTTCACTATATTTAAAGACAATCAGCGGACGTGTCGTATTACTTTGAACAGCAGGACCGGGGTTCAAATCCAGCTCAGGGCCGGGGCCTCCAGCAAGGTTCTCCGAGCACAGACTGTAATGCAATGCAAACATCTCCCCAGTGCTCCTGACTGCTTTTTAGGAGCAATAATCAAGACATTAACGAACTCAACAAGATACAATGACGCGATGTGTTACTTCCATTTCTCCTATTTTAATCTCACTTCAGTATCCATTTGACTTACCTAAGTCTCAAATCTCTCCTCATCTCATGTCTGCTCCTAAGATCCACTTTGAAGTGATCTCAAAAAGATTTACAACTGAGATTTAAGTGCTCTGGGCTGACAATACCTGTGAATTAAGTTTAAATCTTCTTAACTTGGAATGGAAAGTAGTGCAAATGTAGTTAAGTTGTTTTAACTTGAGCTGTGAGTCAGAATAATGCAGTAAAGTCTGTGTATAATAAAGTCTGTGCTTTAGACTTGTTCAAAGTTGTTTCTTGCATTGAAAAATGTGTTTTAACTCGAAGTGTGAAGTTGAATCAAATGGAAAAAAAACAAGAACAAAGGAAGTCTTCAAGTTAAGTTACCTTGAAGTGTCTCAGTTATTCTGTCTTTGGAAAATGTATTAAATTCATATTTAATAAACGCATTAAATGAGGAGGGCACGAGGGAGGAAGCATTTTTATTTCTCTCCACTGAGAGGGAGTGGTGCACCGCTGCGACTCTGACCTGTCAAACTGTCTTTTAATGTGCGCGTGTGTGTGTGTGTGCACGTTGGCTGTCCGCATACACAAACACGCACGCACCTCCTCCTCCTCCTCCTTTATTTCCGTAATCTGGCTGGGTTGCGCGTGGAGGGAGAAGCAGAGACGGCTGAGTGTTTCCACAGGAAAGAGGAGGAGAAGAAGCGCGCGGTGCAGACTCACCTGGTCACAAGAATTTATTCGAGACAAACGTCCAAACGCGTCCCGGAGCAGCAGGTGGACTCCAAACTTAATTGGACACAAGAGTCCCGCCCGGGACAGGACTGGAAGTCCTCCCTTCGGTCCGCAGAGCAGGGACATGAACCCGTCCAGCTCTCGGGCAGCTACTGCCTTACGGACCGGCTGCTGATGAAGAGGATGAAGGTGCTTCCTCAGCTCCACGCGCTCCACCAGTGACCCGCGCCGGTCTAAGATGCCACCGGGCCCCGGCGCTCGGCACGCGGCTCGGATCGAGAATAACCCGGGATAGGCTAACAAATCACAAAAAGACACAAAACCGAACAAAAGAAGAAGTCCACCTCCTCGGGGAGTCACCCCGAACCGGGACGAACCGGGAGGGAGAACCCGGGGTCGGTGAGCGGTGCGCCGGGGAGCAGAGGCGCACTGAGACGCGCCAAGAGCCGCAGGGAGGAGAGAGGTAACCTGGGAGAGGCGGTTTGATAAGAAAAGGAAACTTTATTTTATCTGCATTGAATTTTGAATTAAAACTTTTTTAAAGTTTATTGGTTTTAGATCCAGTCCAGCATCAGCAGTGCTGAGAGCAGCAGCGGAACAAAAGGCATGAGAGTCCTGCGGCGACCACAGAATCTGATAAATGGTTTATTTCACTGTACCAATCATAACCGTCTGTCACAGAGAGCTGTTACTAAACTAAACTTCCAAACCTTACGTGTTACTTCCAGAACTTGTGATGGATCTCTGCTACAAATAAACTATCTTAGAAACTGTGGAACTAATCAGGAACAACTGCAGCACTAAAGCGAGGTCGTCTCTTATAGTCAAATATTGTCTTTGTGTCACAGACTCGCTGTTTCACCTTTAGCAGTTTTTTGAGATGCAAAAATACATAAAGAGTCTGACGTGCTGGAAACAGCTGGTTTCACTCATCGGATGTTCAGGTGAAATGAGATAGGAAAGCAAAATCCAGCATGAGATCTCATAGTTGTTTCCTTCTTTTCTCCTCGACACAAATTCATTTCTTTTAATACCAAGTTGAGACCAAAGACTTTTTTTCTCCAACTTCTCAAATTCATCTCAGGAGAAACAACCGTATAAAATCTCATTTATGTCTGACTCTGATCAAAACAAGAGATCTCTAGCTGATCTTAAATAAGTCTAATTTAAGTCTCCTGAACGTTGGACCATGAGATCAGAGAAAGAGCTCAAAGAAAACTCAGCTATGACTCCTGGGATCTCGTGATTCTTCTCAAATATGTCTCGGTTTTCTGATATTGGCCTCAGGAGCAACAACTCATCTCTGTCTGACTCTGATCAGAAGATGAGATCTCTACAGTATCTTAAATAAGCGTCATTTCAGTCTCCAGAATGTGGATCAGAAAAAAAGCTCCAAGATATTTCTCAGTTTTGTCTTAGTGACCGAACTTAGGGGTTATTTTACTTACGTCAAATATTGAGGTTGAGTATTTTCTTTTTATGGGGGTTTCAACTTTTACTCCCCTTAATTTCAAATCCTTATTGTATTTATTGTTAATTATCTGTTACAAGTTACTGAGAAAAGTAAAATACATTTTGACATTTCCAGTTTGTTAAGGTCACGCTAGTATAACTGGAACAGTCAATACTTTGACATGTTGTTTAGAGATTAATTCATTAAGGATCCAACGTCTATCTGTCATACAGAAGAAGCACTTTTACTCTTGATACTTAAGTACATTCACTATGGAATATTTTTATACCTTACTTGAGTAGAATTTTGAGAACTTTAATTGTGGATATGGCATTTCTCCTCTTTTAAGTAAAGGAAACTTGTACTCTATTTAAAGACAATAAGTCCTTCATTATTAATTTTAGCTGGAAGGCGCAGTGGCAGAGTTGTTGCCCTTTAAACAGCAGGAGGGGGTTCAGATCCAGCTCAGGGCTTCCAGCACGGTTCTCCAAGCACAATGTGATACAATCATGCTCACAAACATCTCCCCAGAGCTCCCAACGGCGTTTTAGGAGCAATAAGCAAGACATTAATGAACTCAAAAAGAGACAAAGATGAGATCTCATCTGTTACTTTCATTTCTCCTACTGTAATCTCAATTCTGTATCCATTTGTCTTACCCAAGTCTCAAAACCTCAATCTCTCTTCACCTCATCCTTTTCTCCTAAGGGGTTTGAGGAGCAACAGTTCAGATTGGAGTGATCTCAAAAAGATTTACTATTGAGATCTTAGTGTTTTCTCAAGAGTTAAAGAAAAGACCATTCCGAACAAAATAGTGTAGTGTGAAAAGATTTGATTATAAAATGCAGCCTTTTGGTGTTCTAACCAGATCCAGTACTCTCATGCTACTCACCTTCTGGAACCAGGGATTTTTTAAATCTTTGCTCCGCCCCTCCAAGTTATTTTAGAGATGATTTAATTTAAAGGACACTTGTAGCAACAACAACACGTCTGCTGATTGGCTGAGAATTTTTAAAGAGCCACCTGATAGATTCTCCAGTAATTAAAGTGAGAAAGTAAATAAAGTTCATCAGAGACACGACTTTATTTTCTTCTTTAGTTATTCTGCAGCTACAGAAATAATTAGGTCAAAGGTCAAACCATCATTCGTGGGTAGCAGGTGACCTCATGCTGAGAGCTGTCAATCAATCCATCAGGCGCTGTGCTCCTTCAGGTCCGCAGAGATGCTGCTCCCGCGGCTTCCGGTCCTGTCGGCGCTGCTCGTCCTGCTGCTGACCGCGGGACGCCGCAACGCGGCGGCCCTGCTCAGGGGCCCCGGAGCCCGAGCGGACGGACGTGCGGAGGGACTCAGCATGCTGGAGCTGGTGGGCCAGTACCCGAGGAGGGCAGAACTGTTGGGCGGAGTTAAAACCCCGGAGAGAGACAGCAGGTCACAGCAAGGACCGGGTCAGTACTGCAACTGGTACTACTACTACTACGCTACTACTACTGCAACTGGTACTACTACTACTAGGCTACTACTACTGCAACTGGTACTATTACTACTACGCTACTACTACTGCAACTGGTACTACTACTACTACGCTACTACTACTGCAACTGGTACTACTACTACTACGCTACTACTACTGCAACTGGTACTATTACTACTACGCTACTACTACTGCAACTGGTACTACTACTACTACGCTACTACTACTGCAACTGGTACTACTACTACTACGCTACTACTACTGCAACTGGTACTACTACTACTACGCTACTACTACTGCAACTGGTACTACTACTACTACGCTACTACTACTGCAACTGGTACTATTACTACTACGCTACTACTACTGCAACTGGTACTATTACTACTACGCTACTACCACTGCAACTGGTACTATTACTACTACGCTACTACTACTGCAACTGGTACTACTACTACTACGCTACTACTACTGCAACTGGTACTACTACTACTAGGCTACTACTACTGCAACTGGTACTACTACTACTACGCTACTACTACTGCAACTGGTACTACTACTACTACGCTACTACTACTGCAACTGGTACTACTACTACTACGCTACTACTACTGCAACTGGTACTACTACTACTACACTACTACCACTGCAACTGGTACTATTATTATTACGCTACTACTACTGCAACTGGTACTATTACTACTAGGCTACTACTACTGCAACTGGTACTATTACTACTACGCTACTACTACTGCAGCTGGTACTACTACTACTACGCTACTACTACTGCAACTGGTACTATTACTACTAGGCTACTACTACTGCAACTGGTACTATTACTACTACGCTAGTACTACTGCAACTGGTACTACTACGCTACTACTACTGCAACTGGTACTACTACTACTACGCTACTACTACTGCAACTGGTACTACTACTACTACGCTACTACTACTGCAACTGGTACTACTACTACTACGCTACTACTACTGCAACTGGTACTATTACTACTAGGCTACTACTATTGCAACTGGTACTACTACTACTACGCTACTACTACTGCAACTGGTACTACTACTACTACGCTACTACTACTGCAACTGGTACTATTACTACTAGGCTACTACTACTGCAACTGGTACTACTACTACTACGCTACTACTACTGCAACTGGTACTATTACTACTAGGATACTACTACTGCAACTGGTACTACTACTACTAGGATACTACTACTGCAAATGGTACTACTACTACTAGGATACTACTACTGCAACTGGTACTACTACTACTAGGCTACTACTACTGCAACTGGTACTATTACTACTAGGATACTACTACTGCAACTGGTACTACTACTACTACTACTACTGCAAATGGTACTACTACTACTAGGATACTACTACTGCAACTGGTACTACTACTACTACTACTCATGTGTCACCATGTTACGTCAGCATGTGATGTCACCATGTGATGTCACCATGTGACGTCAGCATGTGATGTCACCATGTGATGTCAGCATGTGACGTCAGCATGTGATGTCACCATGTGATGTCACCATGTGACGTCACCTCTCTGTGGTCTCTGGTTTCTGTTTGAACTTCTTATTCAACAAACTAAACAAATCACAACACGACAGCGGTGGAAGAAGGTTTTGCTTAAATACAAGTAGTAATACCACAGTGTAGTAATACTTTGTGTTGTCCTGCTTTCAAGACGAAAATATACTGCGTGCACTAAAGAAGACAGAGTTAGCTGTGAGTTGTCACGTTGTTTTGTTGAACTACTGCTTGAGCTTGTTGTGTGAAAACTTTATTTGGCTTTGGGTAAAGAACAGAACAGCTGTGTGAAGGACGACACAAACAGGAGCTCCGCTGGGTTCAAACAGGGTTACAAATACCTCAGAAATGCTGCAGCGCTGCGTCACGTGCGGCCTGTTTCTGAAGCCTCACTTGAGATCTTTTTTTGTTGTTTGGATGAGCGGGTGAAGAGGCCACTTTAACTCGCCGCTGCATTTACAGTCGGGTCCATTAGTGCAGTCGGCTGATGCCAAACCGTCGCAGGGTCTCTGGCCTGCTGTCGCGCCTCACTGTCCAAGCTCCTGCCTCACAAGACGCCTCCATCAGGGATCATAACCCAGAGGGCCGCAGACCGGATGTTCTGTACGGGGTCCTGTAGTGATCTGTGGCGGCTGCAGGTCTGGATTCAGGCAGCGGCGTCCGCTCGCTGCTGTCAACGTAATGCTGTGGTTTTATGGGCGAAAATCACAAGGAAAACATCTGAACGATGCTGATGCAGCAGCTGCTCACAGAATGTCATGAAGTCAAACAATATGTGTAAAATGTGAATATTGACAATTATCGTTCTTAATGATAAACGAAAATCACTCCAGCAGGACGGAGAAGATTACTTCTGTTTAATTAAAGTCGAGCTGCTCTGCTGATTTAAATATCTTTATTAATGTTCCTGTCGTTTACAGCTTTTAACAGAGAGCTGTAACTCAGTGGCCAGCAGGCTGCGGTTGTACTGGGCAGATCCAGGTGTGAATGTGATCAGGGCCTTCCTGCTAAAGACAGGCTTCCTCTCAGTGAAGCTCCCCTGAACAAATAAAGGTCAAAAAAGCACTAAGATCAGGAAGCAGCACGTCAATTTAATGACTTTCTATCTTCAAAATGTGACAGTTTTTTCATATAAATCAGTATTTCATTAGAGATTACAGTTGTCCTCAGTCACTTTGGTGCATTTCTCAGCTGGTCATCTTGTGCACATCACATGTAAAAGCGTAACTGTGAATCCTGTCCAAACCTTTGCAATGTGTAACTCTGGGCTGTTGAAACTGGTCCGTACAGAAAAGTGCAGCCTGGTGCATTTTCAATCATTGTCATCCAAACCTTAGCCGTAGTTTACAAATAGTTTAGCAAATGTTAAGGATGATTCTAGAAAGGTACCAAAGAGAGAAACTGTAAGAATGTTGAGAAGCTGCAGAGCTGCAGTCTCTATTCATTCAGCTGACACTGTCTCTCTCCTGCCATTCACCGCTCTTGTGCCGCTCTTCGAGTAATTGCACATTTGTTTCAAACGTTCTAAATCTGCGGCACTGAAAACATCATTACCTGATCCTGCGGCTGTGGCTTGTGCCAAACCTGGTATAAGACCTAGTTTTCCATAAAAACACGGGACGTTTCAGCATCACATGATCAACCAACACTGCAAAACATAGCAGAAATAAAACAGTGCATGAAGGTTTGTCCTGCAGTAAGAGCTCAGGTTCATCTTTCAGGAACCAGGCGCTTCGTTCTGCCTGAGAATCTTCAAGTTTTCTTCAGTGATGCAGCGACAGATGTCGTACGTCCACGAGTTCACTGCTAACTGCTGAATCTGCTTCTCTTAATGAGCAAGTTTGGCTAAAAGCAAAGAAACATAGACGTAAAAACACGGCAGCTTTTTCCAGAGCTTTTGAAGCACATCATACAGTCTTCATCTGGAGGTCCAGTCAGCTCAGTAGATCTGTTGTCATTAAGGTCTTTCTTATCCTCACTGCTACTGACTGATATTTCCTTTTTATTCCAGACAGTCTCCTCCGAGATCCACGACACAAGGAGAAGTTCCTCAACTACCTGACAGGTATGAACGGCGTCAGACTGTAGAGGTGGAGGCAGATCTTTACGACCTAGAAAGGAAGGGGAGGAGTTAAATGAGAGACTCCTGTGAATCAGCTCTGAGGGACAAGAAGGAGATCCACTCGTCTGTCTGTCCAAGTTATAAACCTGCAGTTCGGCGTTACGTTTCTCCATGTGATGAAAACACCACAGGAGGCGGCGAAGAAGACGAGCGGTAGCTTGGAAACAATTCACGTTCCAAAATATTTCCAAAAATCTGCTTCGCAAGTGTTTTATAAGAAAGTATGTTAGACCTCAAGGACTCACAGAGTTTTAACAGAAGGAAGTAAAACATTACATCTAGCATCTTTCCATCGACCTTCTGTCTCTTTTAGAAATGATTTTTAAATATAATTACTAGTTCACGAGGCTCTGAATGGTTTAACACCTCCTGCTGCGTCCGACACTACAGCGTCAGCTCAGCCAGAGACGTCTGATCTGACCAGAAACATCCGTCTAGTTTATTTACATTCTTATTATGCATTCCTGTTCCTGCACCTGGATTATTGTATTTTCTTGTTTTCATCGACACTTTTATTGTTTATTATTATCAATATTATTCACAAGAAAACCTGTAACTCCGTCACTCACTGGCTTTTCTCGACAGCAGCATCACATGAGCTGGGCCACGGAAACTGCAGCTCAAAACTTACTGTTGTCAGGCCGCTTTTTCAGAGGTCAAGCTGTCTTTTCACTTCAAGTCAGCAGGATTTATAAAAGTACTGAATGTAAAATTAAAACCTGTAGTTTGTAGAAAAAAAGGCGCTCATGATTAGAAGACGCCGACGTTCAGAGTTGGTGGGAGACGTACTCAGATCCTTTGAGTAAGACTATATTTAACTAAAAGTACAAAAGTATCAGCATCAAAACATACTCAAAGTACCAAAAATAAAAGTACCAATTCTGCAGAACAGCAGATTTCAGAATAATATACATTGGATTATAATTATTGATGCATTAATGTGGAGTCTAATTGAAGTACTTTATATACTGCTGAGTACCTTAATCAATACTAATATATCATTTCATTTCTTAGTTGGTTTTTATTTTGGATAATAATCTGAATATACAAAGTAACTGTAGGAAAATAAATAAATGCAGTGGTGTAAAAAGTACAAAGTGCATGCAATGGAAATACTCAAGTGCAGTACCTTTAAATTGTACTTAAGTACAGAGTACATGTGGTTAGTTGCGTTCTACCAGTGCTTAAGTAAAAGTACACAAGTATTATGTACTACTATTCAGTTTTTATCACTAATGAATTCATGTAAAAGCACTTTAATGTTTTAGTTTGTCAATGTGGAGCCAATATACTTTGTATTCTACTTTATAGAGTAGTACTGTAGTACTGTATCAAATCATTAGTTATTGTTAGTCTAATGTAAAATGTAATACTTCCGCCTGAGGTGAAGGAGAGTAGAAATGGAGTTACGACCTGACTAAAGTACAAGTAGTACCTTAAAACTGTGCTAAAGAATCTGTGAGGCTTAAATGCGAGATGCTAAAAAAAGAGTCCAGTATTGTAAAGTGTGTTTGACTCTGTCCTCAGGTCCCCTCTACTTCAGCCCGAAGTGCAGAAGACAGTTCCACAGACTGTACCACAACACGAGGGAGTGCACGGTGCCCGCCCGTGAGCGCACGCACACACACACACACACACACACGCACACACACGCACACACACACACACACACACACACGCACACACACACGCACGCACTGTGGCGTGTTATCAGCGTAATCGTGTCAGAACAGCAGCAGCTCTTGTGATCTTAAATCATGCATGGCGCTCTGTGTTTATCTTGGACAGCGTGAGCGTGTGTGTGAACAAAAATGTGTGTGTGTGTTTACAACAAGTCTCATCATGTCTCTGATCTCAATCGAACTCCTGCAGCAACACGACACAGTGACAACACTGGAGGGAATCGAACCGACGGCCAGCTGGCATGGAGGAAGCTATTACGACTAAGGTCGTTACAGACCAGCCGCTCCTAAACACCATCTGAGAGCTGCGCTATAGACGTTTTGTTTTAACGTTCGGCAGCTGTGGATCCACACAGGCTGGATGTTCGAGGGCTTCAGCAGCTGTCTGCTGTCAGCAGCAGCCGCCATGTACGACCGACACGATGTTGCTTATACCCATGAGAACTGAGCGATATGCAGAGTATGGTGAAGATCTGCTGGAAGCCGCTGGTCCAAGATTATGTATTCGATTGCCCCCTGTGATTATTGAAGTTACCGTAAAACTTCAGTTAACAGCCGCCTGCCCCGTTTACTGGCCTGCTGTGGGAACACCTTCTGAGAAATAAACGCAGGTCTCCATTAAACACCTGTCTGGTTTTTATAGAAGTTCTTTGGATGTATAAAACCTCTTAAACCCTGCGGGGTCGCCGCTTTAGCTGCTTCTAAGCTGCTCAGATCGTTAATACAAATATTACTGTTCAGTTCATTTAACAGAAACAACGAGCCCCAGAGTCTGATTCTTATAGATTTACCTGTGTAACCTGCCCGGTACAAGAGATGAGGGCGAAAAGGTCCGACTCTCGTTACTCTGAAGCGCTCGTTAAAGCTTGATTCATACTCCTGCGTACGGTCTCTGTGCAGTAGCGCTACGGCGTCCACCGTGCTGACTTTTGCCGGCCGAGCAGGCTAACTTCCGGTTTAGCGCTCCGCTAACGTGAAAGGGGGTAATATTGTACACGTGCGGCTGGTGTAGCCTTTTCAAATGTTATTGACTGAATGGATCACATTCTGATAGCGAAACGAGTCATTTCGCTCGGGTTGTGACGCTCAAATATATTGATCCACAGCTGCTGTTTTGGCCGCTAGTAAAAGTTACTTCAAAGCACGCGGCGCTTCCTGTCGGCTCCGAGGCATTGCGAGGCTAACATTTTTGAGGAGGTGCACGTCAGGCTACGGCGTAGGGTAGGGGGCTACGTAGAGGCTACGCCGTCGATTAGACACAGAAGTAAAACACTTTAGTCTGAATGCGTCCGTTCCTTGAATATTTATCTTCCTTTAGGGTCCACCGATCAAAAGAATCAAAACAGCTTTTTATAGCTGTGAATCCTGTCAGGTGAAGTCCGTCGCTCTCTGCCCGCTAACTTCTCTCGCCCTGCACCCTGCTGTTGTTTTCGTTACACTGCTGCCTTCAAAATAAAAGCGCATAAGCCGCCTAGATCAAATGATTGATTTGTATTTAATATCATTTTTATACAAGTAATATTCTGTTTGAAATGTTTAACTGTTTCATAGTAGTTTCAGTTTTGTGCAAAAGGAATTAAAGGCCTGTCCCAATCAAAGGCGGGGCCAGTTAAGTGATTTTAACATATAAAAGGCTATTAATCAAAGTTTTATGCTAATGAATTGTTAAAATGTGTGTGTGTGTGCGTGATCTGAAGGTGAAAGTTACAGAAGCTGTGACGTTTACATAAATGTGACCGTTTGTTGGCTGATGTTTGTTGTAAGTGCAGTATTTATACACAGGATTCAACTACCTGGTGTGTGTTTGGAACGTGAGGCAAGACGTGTGCAGTGAGTTTAATCTGAAAAAGACCTTTAGTCAAAGTGTTTAAACAGTATTAATTTGCCGCATTGCATTGTAATAACTGTTGAATTAGTTTTATTGCCTGTGCATTTCCTGCTACAACAAGCCAGGTGGGACATTTTCCAGTGATTTACTTAAAGTCAGGGAGGTTTTGCTGAAAGCTAGCAGTTTCCCCCTGCTGCCAGTCTTTGTGCTAAGCTAGGCTAAACACACTCCAGCAGTAGATTGAGTCTGCCACCCACAGATCAACATGCTGTGTTGTTTTCGCCTTCTGCAGATTATAAACGATGTGCTCGTCTGCTGACTCGACTGGCCAACGGCCCTCGCTGTGCCGAGCGGTAAACAGACTGAGAGACGGTAAGGAACTCCGACACTTGTGTACACAGACCAAAATATACGTCTTAAACACGGCGCCGTCATGTCCACTTTATCATGAACACTGCTGAAATGTATTCCTCCTGTGGACGCATAAATCGAACTCCTGAACCACAGAGAGGAAACAGCAGGGGCCTGAAGTAAAGAGGTCAAAGGTCAGAACGGGTAGAACAAATTTTACTGCTGAATGAAGGGAAGATATTCCAAACAGGAACTTTATCAGCTTCAGGCCGAAACGTCTACAACCTACTTTGACGTCAGGGTTGTTCTTTCTTAGAGGCATAAAACATTAAATGTTTTGTGTTCTTGTCCGTCTGCTGTTGCATCACACTGCAGAGAACCGACCCAGCGTTTGTTCCTGAAAGAGTATTATCACTATCTGACATCACTCAGACTGCAGTGTACCGCTGCCGGCGAGCAGCAGCTCCAGCGGAGACCATAGAAGAAGAGCATAAACAGTTACAACACAATGTGATGATTGTTCCGTCAGAAAGTACAACCCACATTCCTGACAGAGACTAAATGACCAGGCAGAACCACAGAGTCTGAACAATCTCAAGAAACAGGTCTAGAAAACCTGTGGAACAGTTACCAGATCCCCATCAGGCCCATCAGGCAGGATTTGCACCCTAATGGGAGCCCTTGCTGTAGAACATAAGAGTCTGTAAAACCTGGTCAACAGGTTCTACCCAATCTATAGAACCTGCAGTACCTAGAGTGAAAATAACCTGTTCATTGTAGAGTCCATAAAACCAGGTTAGTAGATCCTGTAGAACATATACGTAGTCTGTAGAACATCTTAAACCCAATGTCAGTAGATCCTTTGGGGCTAAAGTATGTAGAAACCGTAGATCGTAGACTGTAGAACCTGTAAATCTTAGACTGTAGAACCTTTAGATCTTAGACTGTAGAACCTGTATATCGTAGACTGTATAACCTGTAGATCTCAGAATGTAGAATCTGTAGATCTTAGACTGTAGAACCTGTATATCGTAGACTGTATAACCTGTAGATCTCAGAATGTAGAACCTGTAGATCTTAGACTGTAGAACCTGTAGATCTCAGAATGTAGAACCTGTAGATCTTAGACTGTATAACCTGTAGATCTCAGAAAGTAGAAGCTGTAGATCTTAGACTGTATAACCTGTAGATCTCAGAAAGTAGAAGCTGTAGATCTTAGACTGTAGAACCTGTAAATCTTAGACTGTAGAACCTGTAGATCTTAGACTGTAGAACACGTAGGTCTTAGACTGTAGAACCTGTAGATCTTAGATTGTAGAACCTGTAAATCTTAGACTGTAGAACACGTAGGTCTTAGACTGTAGAACCTGTAGATTTTAGACTGTAGAACCTGTAGATCTCAGAATGTAGAACCTGTAGATTTTAGACTGTAGAACCTGTAGATCTCAGAATGTAGAACCTGTAGATTTTAGACTGTAGAACCTGTAGATCTCAGACTGTAGAACCTGTAAATCTTAGAGTGTAGATCACGTAGGTCTTAGACTGTAGAACCTGTAGATCTCAGAATGTAGAACCTGTAGTGTCTAAAGACAGTAGAACATGTACAACATAGTTTCAGTATAATGTGGAACTTGTACAACCTACTGTACAAGCTGTAGAACCTGTATCTGTTCAAACTGTAAGGTTAAAAGTCTATATAACCAGTAGAACCAAGAGAACCTGAGTCTGTGGAAATTGTAGACTCTGTAACATCTGTGGAACCTGTAGTTTTTAATTCTGTAGAGCATGCAGAGACAGTGAAACTACAGAGAGTTTATAAAACCATAGAAGAGACAATAGAACCAGTAGGATGTGGACTTGGACAAGTGTGTAGAACTGAGAGTCTTGTAGAACATGTGGAACTTAGTCTGTAATGTATAGATTTATAGAGCCTGTACAACCTGAAATTGATTTAAAACTGTGACTTACAGAACCCACAGAGCCTTTAGAGTCATGGGAAATGTAGTACCCAGTGCTTCTAGATCTTGACCCATATGAGGGACTAGTCAAAATCTCTCAGTTCTTTCCTGGTTCCGACGCTCATTAGTCCCTGGTAGAAAGTGCAGTACTAATTCACTGGAGCACTACAAAGAGGGGGTTCTCTCATCATTGTTTTTGTTTCTCTTCACTCTCTTTGAGTTATAACTGTTATTGCCGCAGCTCCTCTCCTCCTCTTCTTGGCTCGCTTCTGTTCTGTCACAGCTCCTGATTTAAATCCGCCGTACGTTAAATATCTGCCAGGGAAGCATCCAGAGCAGCAAACACTCCTCTGCACCCTGAACACGAGCGCGTGCGACGTTTACAGTTCAAGATGCTCAAGATGAAGCTTCTCCTCACGTCCATGTAATGTTTTAACCTGGAAACCTGCTCTGAAAGCGCTGGCTCGGTTGTGTTTCATTCAACAAGTCCTCCAACCTAAATGACAACATATTTTCTCCATGGCTCCCATAACGACACATAAACACGTGGATAATGTTATGAAATGGTCACACTTTGGTTCGGTTTAGGAACCAAAACCACTGGGTTAGGTTTATTATTAGACTTTAATACTAAGACTCAAATACTGTTCTTCGAGTCCAGAGTTTGACCCTCCCCACCACCCCATCCCGCCTCCTCACGGTAACTCTCCGTCCATTTATAATACGTCACCTCTTCCGCCTTTGCTTCTGTCGTACGGCCACTGGAGGTCGCTGCCAGAATAAACGTAAACATGGGTCGTGATAACGGGCTGAACAAACGGCCATAATGTCCTTTTTCTGGTGAGGACAGTCTTGATTCAGCGAAAGGTTGCTTTGCTTTATCGTCTCTTCTTTTCTCTCGTTGTTGCAGCTTCATGGATGGGAAGTGTTGCCAGGACAAGGAGGAGGCTGACGGGCGACCAACTGACAAGCGGAAGACGTTCTCCAGCCAATAGAAACCACTCTGAGGCGCCGCTGCTCTCCATCCTGCACTGGTCTGTGTTCTGTCGACAGAAATCCTTTAACATCTCAATCGACTTTCCTAAACGAACCGTGGCCCTGCACCACCGGGCTCGACTCGACTCAGCTCGCCACCGACGGAAGAATTAGCTCCACCAACCGCAGTGGATGGAAACAAACACCCCTTTCCATTTTCTTTTGACCGAACATCTGGATGCACACTTATGAAACATGGTCTGGATATAAGTCTGATTTCAGGCTTCAGTCTAGTGGAACCTTATTTGACTCATCTTCAACCCACTCCACTTAATCCCACACACTTGAGCTCAGCTTCACTGATTTAAATCCTCTTCTCACTACTCAACGCTGTTTTACTTGACTCTACTTTAAATCCCCCTCTTTCCGCTGCCACTCAAGCCTCCACTGGACTCCTCTGCTATTCATCTACCATCCTGTCACCTCAGCTGTTCTCTGCTGTGTTCTCCTGGACCCCCGCTGACTGGACTCTAGTTCTCCTGATGATTCTACCGGTTTCTCATGGAGCCGAGTGGATCGCAGCTTTAAAATCAAGGAAAAACATCCTACTTGATCTGGAAACTAACGCAGGTCTCAACATCTTTCGAAAGTCTTTTTCTTGTTCTCGCAGGACATCAGTGTTTCGTTTTTTGTGTTATTTTGGACGATGAAACTTTGAGGAACTAAACGGACAAATCCTCTGCTCGCACATTTGCTAATTAACAAGCTGCAGTTGCCTTTTGTTCGGTCGTCCAGTGCGACAGAAAACCCTGAGATGCTGAATGTGTTTCATGTTACATGATGCATAATAACAACAGTGACTATAATATTCCAGTGTATTTATATTGTTTAAGCTGCCGCCCCGTGTGCAATATGTACATACTGAAGATGAATAAAGACACGCATTTATTATATATTTTCCCCAAATTCAGACTTTTTATTTAGCGGTTTCTTTACTGTGTAGCTGTTGAGTCCACGCCTCTGCTGGAAATGGGGAAATTCTGAGAGATCTTTATTGATATTACATGTGTTCATACTGCGAAATTCTGTCGGAGCAATCTCATCTCTAATCAGCAGCTTAGAGTAACAAATAAAGAGGTCATTGGACTTAAGCCACGATCTTACTAATTAGCTAAAAATGTTACTTAAATATAAACTTAAATATGAGAATAAAAATATATATATTGGGGGCAGTAAGACGGTGAAGACAGAAGTTATCGTTATGTTGTGAGTCGTGTGTCTGTGTGTAGATGTGTGCACGGGAGGGCTACCTGGCCGTGGTGGAGTTGTGCTTTTCGCAGCCTGTCCACAGTGTTCGTGGGTTCTGATGGGGTTCGTGTCTACCTGAGGGGAGCCTGGTGAAGGAGCGGTTTCCAGGGTGTGAAGAGTCCTGCTGGATGTTCGGCAGCTTTGGGATCCTCTCCTCTTGGAACACTTTCTGCTGTGCAGCGGTGGAAGCTGATCAGCAGTCTCTGGGGAAGCTTGTTGCGTCTCAGTCTCTGCTGGGCTCCCTTGTCGATGTGGGCTGTGGGACTCTCTCCACCTCCTCTCCATTGATGCACAAACCTATTAGGATTTCTAGTTTGTTTGTTTTTTTCTTGTTCTTGGTCCTCGCACCAGGTGGTTCGCGTCTGGACCTCCTCTCCGCAGGCAGTTTCATTGTTGTCGGTTATGGTTGTGTCATCTTCAGATTTATTGAGAGTCTCGGGATGGTGGGTGGAGCTGCAGTCGTGTGTGAACAGAGAGCGACGGGCTGGAAGCCGGTGCTGAGAGTGGTGCTGGAGGAGCAGTGCTGGCCAAGCCTGACATGCTGGGGTCTGTTAGTTAGAAAGTCTTTGATCCAGTGACAAAGACTGGCTCCCAGACCTAGTGTTTGCAGTTTGGTGACCAGATGTATGGGGCTGATGGTGTTGAATGCAGAACTGTAGTCCACGAACAGCATCCTGATGTGTAAGAGCGGAGTCGTCTGCGGATCTGTTGGTCCTGCATGCAGACTCTCTGTCAGTCATTCCTGCTTTTAATGGCTGAGGTTCTGGGGATTGTAGTGGTAGTTTCCAGACAGGTGTAGTGAGCTGGTCAGCACAAGCCTTCAGCGCTCGTCCGGAGACGCCATCCGGCCCAGCTGCCTTATTACAGTGCTGCACTCCCGCACTCTGTTGTTGAGGCTTTTGGTTGGGCAGAAGACGGGACTGTGGAAGTGTGGAGCTCTGTGTCTAACTGTTCTGTCCTTGAAACGGTCCTGCAGGGCTGAAGAAACCTCCCCAGTCCAGGTCTGCGCTGATTTGTTCTGCCGATCGGGGGCTTCTAAACTGGAGTCAGGAAGAAGGCCAGACTGTGGTCTGACTGCCCAGGATGAGGTGAGCGGTGAGTTCTATAAACCCCGGGAACATTTGTGTCGACCTGGTCCAGTGTTTTATCTTCCCTTGTTTTAATGTTCTCATGTTTGTAAAATGTGGGTCTTCAGACAGGACTGATTGAAGTCACCTGCCACAATAAAACTAAAAACAGTCCATCCAGTGCAATAAATACCTAAAGTTAACAGGTAATTCCGGTTCATTACATCTAGATCTTTGTCCACCTTTTCTATCTGTAATAATAATATTTATAAATTTAATAAGTTCATAAGAGATCTGCGAACATAGGTCGAGTTTAAAGTCTAAATACTGTCCTGGTCTCATCAGCAGCCCAGACTCACTAAACAATTACTCTTTTAAAGGAAATCCACTTGTTTTAATGTTCAATGTTTTTCATTTCTACATCTGGCGGTAAAATAATCTGTGGTCGACATTATAATCCCACAGATTTCTGCTGACAGCAGGTATTTTAATGCAGCAGCTGACACTGGCTGTTTTGTAGACACATTTTGGATATTGGTTGAGCTCATTTTAAAGACTTTATATATGCTGTTGGGTAGTTTAATCTACAGAAATGCATCATAATCCATAAACAGTATTTCCATGGTGGTCTGCACCACTTCATGTTAAGCAAGACTTCCTGGATGTTTAGCTGTCGGATGAATGTAGTGAGTAAAAAGTACAATAGTTGGGATGTTTTGATAAAAGCTGCATGAAAATGGAAATACTCAAGTAACGTGCCTCTAATTTGGATGCAAACTCCAGCGTGTGACCTCCCCGCTCACTGTCGGCTCCGTTATAAACGGCACCGCGTGGTGGATTCATCCAACATGGTGTTACGTGTAAATTCAACGTCTCTCTGCTGAAAGCTGAAAGTATCAGAGAAATGTCCAGGAAAACAGTTCCTGTTTTAGTTTGAGCGCTGAATAAACAGCAAATTACTTTAAAGGTCAAGATGAAGAAAACCTCCTGGCTGTTCACATCTAAACCAGAGTCAGACTGTGAGTGAAACTGGAATCTAAACCAGAGTCAGACTGTGAGTGAAACTGGAATCTAAACCAGAGTCAGACTGTGAGTGAAACTGGAAACTGATCTCCGACAGGGTGAACCACATAGCAGCACTGTTGACTTTGGCTGCTGCACAGTTTCATATTTAAAGTGAACGGTTCCTTCGCTCATCCTCTTTCAACCAGCAGAACTTTATTGTTAACGCTAGTGGGGACACGTTGGCCTGAATGTGCGCTAAAATATTTTCATGTGAATGAACAGTGCAGCCTGAGCACATTGGTATGTTCAGTATTTAAACAAGCAGGTGGAACATTAATGTGTTGCACATAAAGTCAAACTGGTTGGAAACATTTACAGGCTGTAAATAGAAGTGTAATTTAAGTGAAAAACTCCAATAATTGCGTCTTTTGGGTTTTTTTGTTTATTGTTAATCCCTAAAGGAAGGAGTGACTATGGCATCTGTTCTAAAACACGTAGCTGTTATATTAATAGCACAAAATAACACCCAAGAATTCCGTCTAACAAGGTAATGATCCGTCTGTCTGTCTGTGTTTGGCTCGACGCTGCTAAGATATCGCTTAAAGTCATTTTATGGTAATTAAGCAAACTGTCAGAAGTGTGTGTTTGATTAGATGAATGCAACTTGTTGCCAATACTGCAGCAGAGCTGGTTGGACGGCAAACACACACACACACACACACACACACACACACACACACACACACACACAATAAAATCCACACACACACACACACAATAAAATCCACACACACACACACACACACACACACACACACAATAAAATCCACACACACACACACACACACACACACACACACACACACACACACACACACAATAAAATCCACACACACACACACACACAATAAAAGCCACACACACACAATAAAAGCCACACACACACACACACAATAAAAGCCACACACACACAATAAAAGCCACACACACACAATAAAAGCCACACACACACACACACAATAAAAGCCACACACACACACAATAAAAGACACACACACACACACACACACAAACACACACACACACACAATAAAAGCCACACTCACTCACACACACACAGACACACACACACACACACGTCGTATCTGTTGAAGTGAACAGAATCAACTTTGATCTCTTTGGCTGCAGCTTTGTGAACAGACCTGAACCTGGAAGGTCTTCCTCTGCCAAAAAGACAAAAACTGACAGCTCCATCCTCACACGCTGGACAAAGATACATCAAAATGTGTCTTAAAATAACTAATAACAAAATAAACTACTGCATTTTTGTATTTCAAAAGTGAACTTGTTATTTGTTCATTTCCACACATGCAGCACAATTATTCATTTGTTTCTGATCACCTGCCCGTCCTCAGCAGAAAAACAGCCGTAGGCTAAAGGTAGATTATGCAGCAGCTTATTATGACCCATATTACGTTTTATCCAACCTGTTTTCACTCCTAAGTCGTCACATACGGACGCACGGTCAAGACCACTGGGGCATCATTTAGCACCACTTAACGGTAGGTGTAGGATATTTGACAGAGTCAGAGTAAGGGTGTGGTTGGTGTGGAAGGGTGGCCCAGAGACCGTCTGGTGTTAGTTCCCCGTGAGAAACAAAAAGTCGACATTGAATGTTTTTAAGTTACACAAGTAACGTCACTTGACTGATGTAAGTTAAGTCGTGTAAGTTACGTTGTTATTTTAAGCCAAACCATCTTTTCCTGCCCTTTACCAAGTAGTTTTGTTGCCTAAACCGAACCAAACTGCGACATTTCACAACATTAACTACTAGTTATATTTTGAAAGTTTAACCAGAAGTTGCATGCTTTTTGACCACAATGCTAAAGGGTTACCCAGGGCGTGACCATGTGTCCACATGTGACGAGTTGGGGGTGAGAATGTGTTGTTTTTTGGTCAGGTGACGTGTTTAAAAGAGCGACAAAGTGCGCGTAAGGAGGTGGTGGGTTGGATGGATGAGTCAAGTAAACTCAGGAGACTGAGGTTCAAGTCTCGAATGAGAGTTAAATAATGTTTTGTAGATGACTTAACGTAGTGTACTTATTTTAACCCAAACCATCTTTTCCTAAACCAAACCAAACTAAACCTGTTCACAACGTTCACCACGTGTTAAAACGACTTGCATAATGTGCATAAGGTCCAGTGCACCTGTTTCTGGACTGGAACTAGCCAGCTCTCGTACATTTCGTTTCGGGATACTGGACAATTGAGCTATTTTGTCCTTTCATGTATGAAGATGTGTTGTATAATAATAAAACAATATTCCCTCTCTTTCAGCTCTGTGTTTGGTCTCCACCAGCTCCTGAGGGAAATGTTTGGCTCTTTAGCTGCTAAATGCTCTGCTATGTTCCCCTGCTGGGCTCTAACAGTGTCTCTCTGCTGTTTGCTGCTGGGCAGGTCGTGTACGGTGGCTTTTAGCAGCTTGTTTGATGTGAACAGCTGGAAATGACTATCACAGCACTTAGACAAAAACACTGACTTGAGTGTTTAATTAAAAAAAGTTGTTCTCTCGC